TTCTCACCGTTTGACGTAGCATTAGTATTATTTGGAATAATATTTATATTATTTATTTTATATTTATTTTATATATATATATATTATATTTTATATAATATATATATTTTATATATTATTTATTTTATATTTATATTATTTATGTTTACAATATTAATTAATATTATATTGTACTGGTTTAATATAGTTCATATATACTTAATATATTTAATAATAATTTTAATACGTTTAATAATTTCGAAAAAAATTTAGTACATTAAATAATGCAAGTATACTTGAATATTCGTTAAATATTTAAACTGTTGCAATTACGTGAAACGTACACAAAAATGAATGTTTCAACAAGTCTCTACTTTCGAAATACATTATTCATGTAATTCCAAATTTAATTCTGTTTCTACACACTGAATGAGAAAGTGAAGACACTTTCTTTCTAGGAAGTGCTTCCTACGCAGATCGAAGAAATCCTTCAAACCCATTTTAGATTCAGTTGGAAAACAATTTTTCAACGTTTTTACGTGCTACGGGGACAATTTATAGGCAGAATTTTTCGAGGGGGGGGAAAAAAAGAAAAATTGCTACGTGACGTAAAAACAACTTAAAATAAAACGTAAAATGTATTGAAAAAGTAGAGGCTTCAAGCTTTGAAACTCAGGTTTATTCTTGTACGCGTACAGTTTATGTACGAAACTGTACAATTTATGTAGGATTACAGTTTATATTAAAGTGTACAATTTATGTACGAAAGTGTACAATTTATGTACGAAACTGTATAATTTATGTACAAAAGTGTACAATTTATGTACGAAACTGTACAATTTATGTACGAAACTGTACAATTTATGTACGATTAGAATTTATATATGAAACTGTACAATTTATGTACGAAACTGTACAGTGGCGAGTCGTGCACAAACACTGCAGAACCCAGCAGCAAAATATATTTATTAATTTATTTACATTTATTTATATCCTGCACAACTTACTCTAACCTTGCACAGAAAGTAATGAAAATATCACTGTATTTGTTCGAAAGTTGCAGCAACGATCTGAAGCCACGAAACCGTAATAGTTCAAGCATTCAGTGAGTAACTACTACGAACATTAGCGAGTAACTACTTTCTTCAACATTAGTGAGTAATTAATACAAGCGATATAGAGGAGAGATAATCCAACCCATATCTTACGATGACTCGCATGTCGAAATCCATTTATCGATTTCTGTTTAAACGATACGCTCGAGATAAACGAAAGGGGGAGGGGTCGACCGTTTCAGTCGTTTTCGCCCAATGAAGGGGAAGATGGACGAGAGGGAGAGAGGCAATGGCGTCAATCGGTCAGTCGAAAAAGCCGGCCGATAGCTAATTAGTTCTCATCTACGCTTCTAAGGCTGCCCTCCTCTTCTTACGTTGCACCGTCGTGCGCGTTCAATTACAAGTGAACCAATTAACGGAGGTACGGATCGGCAAAGGGTTTGGCCGCAGCTGGCGCCTAACCTCTTTACGCGCTTCGGTTCCTTCCGGCGATCGACGATGTCGATTCTAACGCGCCAGCCAATTTTTCCCCCCTCCTTCCGCGCAATGAAGAAACGCGAAACTGCAAATTAAACGAAGCACCTTTCCGCGTCAACTACTTGTGCTGGCAACAACTGCTTCACAGATACGATAACCTAAACCTAACCTAAATCTAATGCGAGTGCCAGTGAAAGAATTCTTTCTGTAATTCTTTTTACTGGGTAAAAAGAAGAGTTTATCTATAGATGTAGAATTCTACACTTTCGATTTGATGGGAATACATGTAAAGAACCTGCCGCAAAATTGACTTTGACCTCGAGTTTCAAGAAAAAAAAAGAATTTTTTTTTGCGTTGTATTGTAGAGGGGGATAAAATTAAAGGAACCTAATAACTCTATTGAAAAATGGCAAAAAAGTTTCTCAATCATTTAACACTGCGGACGCGTGCGTTCTAACAACGACTTTATAATTCTAAATGGATGTCTATACGTAATATTTATATTTTGAATAATATTAACAGTTTGTTTTATCATTTGATTATTTAGACTCACACTGATGCTACAACTATGATAAAATGTTAATGAAACTTAATAAGTTTACGTGAAACAGACATCCATAAAGTCGCTGTTAGTCCGCAGTTAGATTAAGAAACTTTTTGCCATTTGTCAAGAGAATTATTAAGTTGTGATTTAGGATTCCCTGGAAACCATGGTTTTACCTTCATGATGAATAGAATATAATACAAAAGAAAAAAATTTCAAGACTAAAAATTCAAGACCATGATTAATATTGCGGCCCTTTACATGTATTTTCATCAAATGGAAGATGTAAAATTCATCTATAATAGCCACAGGCAAACTTTCCTTCTATAGTGTACATATTTTAGGTTCAATACTTCTGTACAATAATCCTGTACATATTTTAAGTACAATATTTCTGTACAATAATTCTGTACATATTTTAAGTACAATTAAGTACAATAAATATAATATACAGTAATTATATTACAATAATTATTGTATACAATAATAGTATAGTACACAATAATTCTGTTTACAGACAAATGTTAGGTTCAATACTTCTGTACAATAATCCTGTACATATTTTAGGTACAATTAGGTACAATAAATATAGGTACAATAAATATACAGTAATTACATTACAATAATTATTGTATACAATAATAGTACACAATAATAGTACACAATAATTCTGTTTACAAACAAATGTTGGGTTCAATACTTCTGTACAATTCTGTACATATTTAGATACAATTAGGTACAATAAATATAGTATTTACAGTAATTACATTACAATAATTATTGTATACAATAATAGTATAATACATATTAAATCTGTTTACAGACAAATGTTAAACAAATATATATAATAATTCTCTTTTTATTAACAATTTTAAATTATTAACAATTTTTTTACAGAATGATACACTTCAAAACAATATGGAAACTTGGCACATACTTTACATCTCCTTTGAGGATTTTTTTTTATTTTTAGTAAATGGAATATTCCTTGGAAAACTTGTTCATTGCACTGCTTGTGGACAAAGTGGCGTATTATCAGCAGGCATCCTTTTCCGCGTTTGATAATCAGGAATATCGCTTTCTTTTTGAACTTGTCGGGATGACATCACCTTGTAAGTTCACTGTGGCTTTTAAACTAAAGAGGTAAAAAATTTATCATTTGTTTCGCTCGAGTTTATTATGTTTAAATATACTTAAATACCAATACAGAGAAAATATTGCAACCTTCGGAACAAAAAAAAAAAAACCCTTGACGTCGACGCCGGTTCCTCGACAAATTCATTCTGGTTCAGCGTGTTCGATAATTGAGTCTGTCGACGATCGAATGAAGAACCGATTTTGACAGTTGGACTGGTGTATGTAGAACCGAAAGCGAGGCAGCACACGAGGCTGCACGTGTGTCGTTCCACAGGGTAGCCGCAATTAGGCACGTTGAGAACACGCGTGCGACCATTTGCTCGCAGATACGGCGTCGAGGGCCCTTGGCTGTACAATGTCGCCGTGATTTTGGGAATTTCTCGGCTCGATCTTGCAACGAGAGACCTAAACCTAAAGCTAAACCTAACCTAAACCACAGACGAGGTATACGAATTGCATCATCATGTATTTTTGCGGCCATGGTAATAAGGTCGACATAACCTTATCATTTTCGTGTCATATCCTGTCTTACCGATTTTGCGACCGCAGCACTACCAGTGGGGAAAATTAAAATTAAAAAAATATGAACAGTGTTGCCAAATCTGTTTCGAGGATTATTTATTGAATTGAATGGTGCTTCATCAATGAAGGAATATAAACAGCGACTAATTGAAACTGGAATGAAAAATTTAGTAGATATTTGACTATTCACATCTATTTAAATGTATTAGAAAAAGAATTGATCGAAATATGATATCTTTATGAACAACACAATTAGATATGCCGTGTTTTTATTTATTTACCAATTTGTAAATCTACAACCTGAATGAATTATCTTTATCCCGTAAACTCGATTTTATGAAAGTTTGAATCAATGAAATATTTCTACAAATATTATACCTCGTCTAAACCTAATCGTGCAACGCGTCGAAAGAAACAATCAGTCGATGGAATATCGTGGAAGGTAGAAGCCTCGGGACTGTATACCAATTGTTTGGTCGCACATGCGACGCCATATGCCGTCGATGCAGGTGTCATAAGCCCTATGTGTCATACGTCTCACCACCAGGGGCGATAAAGTCCCACTATTTGCCAAAATTTCCCCGACAGAGACCTGTATAAGAGACCGAAATGTGACCCAAAAAATAAAAAAAAGACAGTCGACTTTCAAATTCGTGTCTTCTTTTTCGAGTTATTATTAGTCGTTAACAAAGTAATTTGGCTATTGTATGACGAGGACGTGCCAGTGAATTAGGAATTTGTAGAAGTCAAATGACTGTAGTTAATCTAAAATTCTCAACTATTTAGTGAAATTCCTACAAAATGCAGTTGTTATTAATTATCAATAATTGAATGGAATCCTTGAATAAAGGTCTTGTTGCATTTCCATCAATATTAAATTAACAATACACGTAGCATGATTGTATAATTAATTGCATTAATACATATAAATTGGATACATGTATTTATCATTTGATATAAATTTATATAATACAATTTGATAATAATATAATTTATATAATATAATTTGCCTCACTTTGATCGATATGTGACCGATACAATCATAAATTGTCGAAATATTGGTGTCATACATCGCTTGTTTCGTTTCATGTTTCACGCTTAAAATAAAAAACCAGGAAGAGAATAAAAGGACGAAAGGAGAAAAACTTTTTACGAACAAAAGGAGAAAAGAAAAGCCGAGCCACATCCCGTGAAATCATGGGGCTACAACACTCTCGGAGCGTTGCAGGTACAGTGAGTTGTTTGGAGACGATGCGAAAGTTTACTGACTCGGTCGGTAAGTTTCATGTATAACTTTGCATACATGTAACTTACCGACCGAGTCAGTAAACTTTCAAAGAATGTCAGTGAACTTTTGAAGGATATTTGAAGAAAACAGCCAACTTCATTCACCGTACAAAACTCGCGTAAACTAATCAAACATTGTGACAGAAAGAGGATCCGGTCAAAGATCTGAGAAAGATAAGAGAGCTGTATTTGACCTTGTTTGCTCTTAAAACTCCCAAAGTGGTCAAAATTTATAATTTTATATATTTGTGACGATGTATTTTTAGAGACTTGCATGATTTTTAATAAGAAGCTCGTGTCGTTTATTACATTCTAAATAAATTGTTCTTTGTTCGTTGGATTTCTATCCATTTAGCTGCAAATTTTACAATTCAGTCGTCGGTAATTCCGGTGTTAAATTAATTTCTAACACGTGTGCAAGCGATCTGGTAAACGCGACTCAACTCTTCATTACCGAGGAAACAACGACACCATTATATAAAAGCGTGGTCCGAAAGAGGCATCGACTCGATCGAAGGATCGCTATGACGACGTTCTCTGTTCCCAGGACTCCAGAAAACTAAATTAAATTATGCGTTTCGATGGCTCGCTTCGTATGCACTTTGCTAATTCGTAGACGTCGAAGGAACGATCGTTAGATGTCGAACCTCCTCCGTAAGATGCAGAGCATACATCCGACATACGTACAGGGTGTCCAATTAATAACTATTCGTCGACATTTGAAAAATGTCTCATGTGTATTTTTTTTTTTCTGTTTTGAGAGGACGGTATATTTGGTACACTTAGTTTGTCTCTCTAGACAGACTCGCGTAAGAGATATGAAGGTATCACTATTACATTTTTTTAAGATGACTATGTACTTTTTTTGCCTAATGACTTTGTAAATTTTATGTAATTTAATAGACGTGGCAAGTCATTTTCTGTAAAAAAAGTTCTATCAACCCATTTACATCGAAAAGTTATTAATTTAAGAGACTTTAACTTTATTTTAGATAAAACCTAACCTAACTTACATCCATTAACTCTATTTTAGATAAAAACTAAAAACGGAAATAGAGATGGAACCCTCGAGCGAATGTTTTACCATTGAGTCAGCATGTCCCACGTTGAGAAAGGTTGATTAATAAAAAAAACCATAACTGCATTTATAGAAGACACCCCGTATATACAAGAAACAGCAAGAAAAGCCTCGTCTCTGCGTGGGAAACGCTGAAACACTCGATGGACACGCGAAATAAAAAAGAAAAAAGAAAAACGTTTAAAACCAATTAAAAGTTAAATCGTAGAAAACAAACGAGCGACATCGATAACAACAACGTGTTCGATGCATTAATTACCAAGGGCGATTGCGATATATCCGGGAACTGGAACGGTCTCTTAACCGATAGAAATTCCTTCGCGCGTGTCTCATTCAGATGCCAGCGGACATCTCGCTTCTTCTCATCCAGCGAATTCCAGGCTTGTTTGTAACATCAGTCGCATACGACAATTGCGAGATTTGTCGAACGATGTGCGTTGAGACTGCGAAACTGAGTTGTCAACGGTCGAAACTCGGTGGCGCCCTCTGTCTCCAGTTTTTCATACGCGTGAATTCGAAGTTACCGGAGTGAAACACCACGCTGTTAATTACAGTAAATACGGTCGTCTAGTTAAGATGTGAATCCACAGTCGCGAGACTGAGATTACAGCATACTGGCGCTCGACAGCGGCAAACTTGACAGCAAAACTGTAAAATATATCGCCGTCCCGGCGGCTGATTGTTATCTCAGTTTTATAGGATCCACGTGCTCGCATGACTTTCTCGCAACAATAAATATCTCTTTAACCTATCTTTTGCCGGAATTTCTTTTTTCATCACCATTTTCATCAATATTAACAATACACACAAGTATAATTCTATAACCGTATTGACACACACACACAC